ATACAGCATGAGAGAGCAAGAATCTCACCGAACCCAGCTCACTAGACGCACATGCGGACTCGCAAGTATTTTACCAAACCTGTAAAATGATTGGCGCTTTCATACGCTATGGACTGACGGTACGCTGAAATTGATCATGGTTGAATGAATTCTATCGTTGTTATTGATTTACGTCGCACTAGAGCTGCACAATGACTATTGGCGACGGTCTGGGAAACATCCCGGAGGATGATCCGAAGACATGCCATCACAATTTTGATCCTCTGCGGAGGGGATGGCACCCCCGCCTCGGTAGCCCGACGACCTGCCAGCGAAGTTGAGCACTTTGCAGTAGCACAGTTTAACGAGGACCCATACCGCACACCCTCGGTCCCTACGCAGACTGATCCAAGAGGTCACCCACCCGCACACTGACCATAGCCAGTGATGCTTGACTTCGGTGATCTGCTGGGAACCGTGTCTTAACGATCAGTCCAGTGCGAGACGAATGAATTCTGAAAACGTGAAATAGAAAAATGTGAAAAGTACGTCTTTACATAATATGTGGCGAAAATCGACATTCCCTTTCATAAATCTCATTTTCGAAAAAGGAAAATAAGGCACTTTTTCAAAACACTTATTAAGAAAAGCACCTTTAAGGGCCTTTAAAAAATGAAAATCGAAAGCACCTTTAAGCACTTTTTAAAAACGCTACGCACCATGTTTTATAGCTTAGTCACTCAAATCAAGATAAAAAAAATCGTCAAAATTCTAGATAGTATTTAAGTCCATCCCCCTTTCACCCCCTTATCCTTTTAGGGACACAACATGAAATTCATTGATATCTTAATATCATTTTATATCATGAGGTAGAAATCATAATCCTTTTTATACTATGCTACTTCACTAATGGGGAAATAAAGTTTTCAGAATTTTAATTTGCTGCTGAAAAAAAGACTTATCACAAATACAAATGTAAAAAATTAAATCAAAATCAATCAATATTCTACAGCGTCTGCGATTTCTTTTTCCTCCCTTTACGAACATCGTTGAGAAACTATGATATAATAGAATCATGTGATAAAATTAAATATGAGCCAAAAGTAAAGATAAATAACAAAATATGGAAACCCAATTACATGCAACCGTTCAGGTAATTAAGCAACCCTATCGGCAACTCCGAACGGAGGAATTGCGCTTAGAGTTTCACTTACACTTACAGTTACACTTACGGTTGCACTTATTTTTCTCTCGTGTGATAGAGGCATAAACCATGATATCAAAAATGTTATTTTTGCTAACTCTCAATTGTTAGAAAAGCTTAATCAAGTCCATGAGAGCACCAAATCTGAGCATATCAAGGACGTAAAAAAAATCAGCAAAAAGATCACCTCTAGAAAGACCTAGTCAGTTGAGTATGATATGAAAAATAAATAATATAAAAAGTTGATAATTGTACTAATTAACCCTGCGAAGCAGAATTTTTCTGAAACATACTTTTTATACTTTTTTATTATTTTGTATTTGGTACTTTGTATTGTTTTTAATTTTGGTTAAAATAAGTGAAAAAGAATATTTAATATAAGTATTTAGCATTTGAATAATTTATGATTATGAAATACAGCACGTAACACCTGCGTCTTTTTCTGCGTCAAAGGTAAGTATAATCTTCCTAACTTGGCTCTCTTACAAACAATAATTTTTCAAATTTGCACTTGGATAGATTTAAGAGAGGCAGTTACTCATCATTGAAATTTCTTTAATTTACGAAATCAATTAGTGATAAGTTTTTGAATATGAATAGAAAAAAATGCAAACTACTTTTTTTAAATTTCATATTTTAGTAATAATTTCGCCAATCTAACAGATTACTTCTAGTAACGGTTAGATTGTTTTTTACAGTTAAAAAATTAGCAAATATATTTTTGCTTGAAATAGGAGTTTCAGAAAAAAAATATCTATAAAAGGAAGATCGGTATCCAATTTTTGTCAAAGTGCTAATTATTTAAATTACTAATTGCTAATTATTAAAGCTAATTATTTTTAGTTACGGTACAATAAAAAACAAGAAATGTCACAAAGATAAATCCGTCTCCCTAATATTGAACATTCCGATGAAATTTTTATTAGAAACTAGGGACTGATAACTTAATTATTTCATCCCTAAAAATTTATCCAGGATATAGTTTTAATTTATAGTTATTCGTAATAAAGTTTTTTAAAAGATATTTTTAACACACAACTTTACCTTACATTTTTGAAAAAGCAATGCTATGTTTAGCCCAGATATCAGAAGTGGTAACAAAATGTGTGCTTTAATCAGAGGAGCCAACTGCCCCGTATCCTACAAAATGCTTTAAAAAACAATAGAGCTATGCACTGAAATTTGCAAACTTTTTGGTCAATTTTACTAACTTTTTAAAAGGCTCAGCACGAAATGGTTCCAACAAAATGGCACTTTATATAAGCCTTTGAATTATTCATAATTAATGGTAGGTAAAAACCCTTTAAATTGCATTTAATAAACCAAGAATCACACATTAAAACATACATTTTACTACCACTAGAAAATATTTAACAACAATATAGAAGCAATTTGCATCTCTGGTTGTATAATTGAATGTTTGGTTTAATTAATAAACTTATTTTAATACTGTGTTTACGACCACAGCACAAAAATATTTCAAAGACATAAATATTTCAAAGACATAAATGAAAGATGTTTAAAAAAGATGTTACGATGTCTCCAGAAATTTTAAAAAATTTTACTTATCATAATTAGGATTTTACTACAACTTAAATTATTGTGATGGGCTAAAACCCTGGTAAAAATAACAACTTTTAAAATTCTTCTTTTAAAGATGTACAATTTCCAACTTGTAAGGTCGTTTCATTAAGTTCTAGTAAAATAATAAGTAAATAAAAAAAATTGTTAACAATTAAGCTATTTGGTTTTCATTTTAAAGCGTCGTAATTACCTAATGGAATTTACATATGCATGTTTGATTCAATGATTTGCCATTGAGCTTAAAGCAAGATTTTTTTTAAATTATAAACTTTAAACACTAATATTTTTACATTTCCTACTATACCAAAACAATTTTTTACGCAGCAAACTTCGAAAACTAATATTTTTACATTAGAACCTAAGTAGTGCTACCATTAAGAAAAACTTTCAATTTTTCTGATTATGCCCACTTTATCATCAATGGGGAACATTTTTCGTTTACTGCTCGCCATAGTTAAATTTGAGACACTTGTTTGCAGGCTTTTTTTAACTGCACTAAGAGCAAAAAGGAGTTGAAATGAAGGCCTTATCAACACATATTAGTGTCCAACTTTTTGACCAATAATGAATAATTACTCATTCCCTCTGACAGAAAATGTATATTGATCCCACTGACACCTTACAGGTGCATCATCTGCCTGGGTTGGAAGCATCTACTTGATTTGTTTAGGGATGGGAAAGTAAAATAAAAAAAGTAAACAAGAAAAAAATGCTCATCGCTACCTTCCCCACTATAGATGGTTTTAAAAATCGGTATATGTATTTATTTTGAAGTAGAAATTTCAAAATTATTACAAAAAA